CTCTTTCCATTCTAATTCTTGGCATGATTGTCACAAAAGAGAATTGGGGGGTGGTGGTGAGGGGTAGGTAAAAGGGTATAAACTTTTAGTCAGAAGATGAGTAAGGTCTGAGGATCTAATGTATAACCATGGTGATTATAGTTGATAACATTCTTAGATGACTGAAGTTTGATAAAAGTCAAATGTTCCCACCTAGAAAGAAAAAAGTTTAGTTAAATATGTAAAGTCATATATTAATTAACTCAATGCAGAGGAATCCTTTCAAAATATGTACATATAACAAATCACCATGATGTATTCTTGAAATACCTTATAATTTTATTTTTCAGTTATACCTCAGTAAAGCTAGAGAAATAAAGAAAAAAGTTCTGAGCCACATTTAGATGAAAATAGCATTCTATTCTTTACTATCCAGATTCAAATTAGTCCTCCAGTCCCTGGAAACTGATCCATTCATTCAACTTATTTAAAGATTAGTCATCTACTATGTGCCAGGCAATGTCTTTGAACTGGAGACATAACATAAATGATGCACAATTTCAGTCTTTAAAGAATTCAAAATATGTTGGGAAGATTTACCAAAAAAGATGATGACAAAACAATGCAATTGCTGTGATAGGGAGATGCTCAAGGGTCTGTGGGAACGTAAAGCAGAGAGCCTGCTGGAACAACACCCCTTGGGAAAATGACCTCATAGAGAAGGTAACATTTGAGCAGTCACATCAGGTCTGCTTGATGTGCTTCCAATTTCGGGGCATGGGTGGAGAGGGGGTTCCAGAAAGAAGACAGTTAATGCAGAGATCTAAAGGACAAGAACAAGCATATTCTATGACTGGAAAGAGGAAAATAAAGGGGGGATGAGATAATGTTGGAAAGGAAGGACAAGGACTTATGTATGAAGGGTTTGGGTTATCTTGATGAGGAATGTGAAATTATCTTATAGACATTGGAAAAGCAACAAAAACTGAAGCAAAGACAATTATAGGAAATTGTCCTTGCAACCACTGTACATTCTTCCCCTGTATCCTCTTTAATTTCATTCCCTGTCTTAAGTCATGTTCTTAAATTCTTTTAAACATACTCAAGTAATAATAATCCTTATATTTGATATATTGGAATCTGAGGTCTAATTTGATTAGGACCCTTACCTCCATTCCTGTTTATCACCATAGGAAACACAGAAGACACCTCTCTCCCCTGGGACTCTAATTCGCATAGGACTTCTACACTGCTATCTCTCCCTCCGTTTCCTTCCCTTCTCTAGTTTCTGAAACTGTTTACATTAGAGACGTTTCAAGTCAGTCATTAGCAAAATCCCCTTAATAATCAACTTATTTTGAAAATATTCCCTTTAAGTTCTTTTTTGTAACTAACACTGGTCTTTCCATTGCTTATACTCTTTCTCTTTCACTCCTTCCATTTTCTCTTTCATATTCCTTCTACTGCAAAGGCTGCAGTCATGGTATATGTCCCACCTTATTTCTTTTTAATGCTACTTCAAGATTATGGATTCAAGATCCATAAAAACTTAAAGTTTTGACTGTGATTTTGTCAAACTCTTCCATCCACTGTCTCTCCTTGCTATTATCATCCACTAATTCTCAAGTCATTTTCATTACTCTTTGATGATTTTATCTCCTAGTTCAATCCTACTCTCAACACTATCCTTGTTTTAATTCTCTCTGATCTCAGTGTTGATGTAGATAATTTTGCCGTGTTCTGGGCTCTTAGATATTGAATCTCCTCTCTAATTTCATATTCCATCCCAACTCAGAGACTCACTTCCGTGGGTATACCCTTGACATTGCTCTTACAAATCTCAATTTCAGATATCTACTAGGACTATCACTGAATATTTTTCTAGCTCATTCCTGCTAATACTGTGACTAAAAACACAAAAACAAACAAAAACAAAAACAAAAAAACCTTTGACCACTTCAGAATTTAAGGGTCATCTTAAATTATATTATCATTTTAGCTTGTCACAGTCCTTCATCATCCCATGCTAGTCCTTCCTTACATGACACAAATACCATGGCAAAGTCAAAAATTACTCCCTTACATATATCCACAGCTCCTTTGTCTTTTCCTCTGCTTTTCATGGTTACCTAAAGATACCAAAAGTCTGGTGAAATCAATACTGCCACTTTGATATCTTCATACACACTGCCAAATAAGGCTGAAGCAGGAAGACAGAGTGCATAATGAACCCAACCTCACTTTAAATTCATGGTCATGAATATTGCCTGACAATTACAGGATATTTCCCTAGTCCACTCCTTACAACTGACCTATTCAAATATTTCATACATTCTTCTCTCTTTTTCCTTTCTATTACTCTCTCAGTTGATGAATCTTCCTGTTTCATTAAGCAAATTAAAGCATTCAGAACTTAACACTCAAAAAAAGGAACTCCTGATTTTGTTACATACCTCTCACCCCTACCAACGCAAAAAGCAACAAAAACTCTTTCATTCTATGTTTTTCTCCATCTCAGTGAATGGTAATTTCATTCTTCTAGGTATAGGGCCAGAAAATGTTGTGCTGTCTTTGATGTTTTTCTTTGCTCGCACCTTGCATCTTGTCCTTTAAGAAACCCTGTGATTCTTCTTTCAAAAAATATCAAGAATGTTACACTTCTGTCTACCTCCATTACTTCCACTTTGGTCCAGGTGACCAGCATTTTTGCCTGAATTATTGCACTCACTTCAGAGATTGAATCATGCTGCTTCCTGTGTCCACTGTACTTGATTCTCGAGAGCAATCACAAGAGTGGTCTTGTTTGAAATGTAAGTCAGATTATGTCCCTCCTCTACTCAAAAACTTAAAATTCCCACCACAGTCAGACTAGAAGCCCAAACCATTATTTAAAAATTCTATACATGTTTTTGTCTCTCACTTAATCTTTTCTCTGCCTATTTCTCCTTATCATTTTTTTTTATTTTACTTTTTCAGTGTTCCAAAATTCATTGTTTATGTACCATATCCAGTGCTCCATGCAATACGTGCCCTCCAAAATACCCGCCACTAGGCTCACCAATCCCCCCACCCCCTCCCCTCTAAAACCCTCAGTTTATCACTGTGTAACATTCTGTATTTTCTACTTTTCTATCTTGATTTTTTTCCAATACCCTTTAAAATGTAAATGCTATAAGGGCAGAGATTTTTTGTATGTTTTATTCACTACTATATCGCCAAAGCCTAGATCAATGCCTAACTCAGAGTAGGCATGCAGTAAAAGTAGTGGAATGAATGGATGAGTGAATGAATGAGATTGTTTTTGCATGGCTACATTATCTAGTCTGTTGTGCATGCTAATGCTTTAGTAGCTGTGTGATTTACTGTAGCAATTCAAAGGATCTCTAATCAGATAGAGAAGTTTGAATTTCATCTGCACCTTGCTACATAAATTTGCAAATTGCATTTAATGTCTCCAAGTCTTGTCTTCTCATTTTAAAAATGGACATAATAATAGTAACTGATTCAAGGATAATTGTAAGAATTAAATGAGAAAATGCAGGTAAAATGTTCTAAATGTCCAGAGCAAAGTTAGTAAACTTTTAATAAGTCTAGTTAATATTTTTTAATTAAACCTAATACATACTATTTTTCTTTCTGTGTCTTGATTTGCACATTTAAGTAACTTTATAAGAGGAGAAGATAAGCTCTTTGAGACTGGAAATGTTAACTTCCATTTTTTTTAAACCCTTCCAATTTGTTTCACACCAGCATTTAATCAGTTATTCTTTGAGAGTCAGGTGGGCCCCTGAAGTGTTTTGAATGGCTCATTTTCAGTATGCTAAGGTCATGTGATGAATCAGCCCTACGGTTTCATCCATTTTTCTATGGAAGACTACTCCAGAGTAAGAAAAAAATGTTTGTTATGTACTTGGTTTTTGTGTAAACAAACAAAACTCTTAAGGGAATTATCACAGTGCATTATAAAAATGTTTGGAAGAGAGTTTTCCTAAAAATGACACTCAGGAAGTTCATTGAAATCATTTGCAATTCATCTATGCAAAACTTTACATTTTATGTTCAATCGTTTTAAACTTTCCACTAAGGAACATATCCCTTAAAAATATAATAGTCCCAACTGTTGGGTGCTCACATAGTTTAACTAAATTTTTAGAATAAACAAATATACATGCAGCACTGGCTCTTTTGCTCATGGATTTAATTATGATGATCCAGAAGGGGGCAACATGTAGGGGTCATCTGTAGGGCTGTGACTGCACAAAGTTTCTCTGAGGGTCTGCACTAAATAAATTTCACTGTGCAAGTTTACCACAGGTGGGAGAGATTTTTTTTTTTTTCCCATGAGAAACAGCCATTCTAAATAAATATACTTTGTTCAGATTGCATATGAATTGATTAGAATTTGTATTCACAAAGCCAAGACTAGAATCCTAGTTATTATGACTGCCAGCCTATAACTTTTATATTTCTGTATTCCTATATTCTAGGCTAATATGAAAAGTTAAAATAAACTTGAGTTCTAGTCACACCTCTGTAAATTTAAAGATTTGTTGTTCTTGACAAGAGATATCATCTCTATGCCTTAATTTACTCACCTGTGTAAAAGTAGGGATTGTATCCACCCTGTGTATTTTTTACGGACTTATTGTTAGCATTATGTGCAATGTAAAGATATTTGAAAGTATATTACATGCTTTACAATTGGAAGGATATTTCAACAGTAGTAGTTGCAATCTCTGATGCTGCTGCTCTTTCTGAAACTTTTAGTCTTTGTTCTTCCATTCAAGTTCTAAATTTCTGTGACTACATTAACATCACCTCCCCCCTCCCACCCGGCCTTTTCAAAAATAGCGTATTGAATTTTGCCAGTAGGAAACTCCAATGATAAAATCAGACTGATCTTTGAAATAAAGAGTTCCTCCTATTTTTCTTGGGTGAAATTTTGATAACACCAAATTGTCCTTTCCAATTCTGTACTTGGGTATTAGTTACAATAGCATCTTTTCTTCTCATTTTCACAGGAAATGACTTATTTCTTGTAGCAGTTCACGAACTGGGACATGCTCTGGGATTGGAGCATTCCAATGACCCCACTGCCATCATGGCCCCATTTTACCAGTACATGGAAACTGACAACTTCAAACTACCTAATGATGATTTGCAAGGCATCCAGAAAATTTATGGTAGGTTTCCACTGTTTCTCTTTGGTTAACCCTACAGTGAAGTCCAGAATTCCTGCGGTGCTTTCTTCTTTGAGATGGATGCTCTAAGTATATGAGAGAGATAAATACCAAAATAAGAAAAAAATAGTCTGGCCTATTGGCAGAAGTCTTATATCAATCAAGTTTTGTTGGCAATGGTCCAAATATCTTAATATACAGATTATAGTAAATCTACACACTGACAGATTTTTCTTATTGAATTTAATTGAAACCTGCAATTACAGCAAAGATCTGATAAACTTTACTATTTACAATTCAGGTTAAAAATGTAATAAATGAATATAACCAATAAAAACAGTGAGAAATATAAGATTTTCTTAAAAAATACTGAGATTGTGATAAAAACTGACAGATTTACCCTCAGTTTATGATACTTATTGTTAAATAGTAGATCAATCTCTTTGGAGGTTGCAGAGAATACTCTTGTGTAATGGCTATAATAAAATGACCTCAAAAGCATGTAATTATTGACTCAGTGAAAGTTAACAAACATGGGAGTGGAAGTTAACAAATGGCAAAGTTTACTTACACATAATTCAAAATAAATTTCTAATATACTAAGATCATTTTTATTTATGGGGTTCAGTCAGTGAATACAAATGAAGACCAAAGGGAGAAAGACTATTCTACATATTTACTATAATCCTAACTTCCTCAAAAGAATCATTGACCTTTATAAAGACATTCATTTCACACATAATTGTTAAGAACTTGACATTTGTAATTTACATATAGAGAGTATGCTTTACTAAATTAATGAAATGATGCTTTCATTTTACAAAACAAAAGCAGATGTGTGTTATCTGTATGTTAATATTCAGTATCCAGAAGGTGTCATTTGCATTTTTAAATAGAATAGTTTAAGTTCACTAATTTGTTTTGCATTCATTAGTTTTTCAATTTCAATATCTCAGTGGTAACCGTTCTCTCAGGGTTAAAATAGGATTTGGTAGCCCGGTCTCTGTAGCGCAATCGGTTAGCACGTTCGGCTGTTAAAATAGGATTTGGAGAAATAAAAATGTCAACTTTTGTGCTTCTCTTTATTTGGGGGATACTGAGAAAAGGGAAATGTTTCAGAGTCAAAACTAAGTAGCACATGTGTCGAACGCGCTAGCCTATAGGCTAATTTGTACCATCAGGAATTCCTCCTAAGTGGTTAACTGAGGTTAGGAAGGCTCTTTCTCATGACCTCATGAATTAGTAGTCTAGACTGAAGGTCTGCAAAAGAATATTCTTTCCATATCTAAATATTAAGTGCGAACAGCTCTCTATTTCTTTTTAAAAACACAAATCCCTTGAGGAATGATGCTTTACATCTGTACCAAATTATATGTGTAAACTTTGGCTTAATTTAGAAACCTCTTTTTAGAAATACTTCTTCACATTAATATTTTACTAGTGGCATTTTAATCAATAGGTATTTTAGATTCAGTATTCAAATGAAATACTCATCTAGCAATTTGTCAAAACATGTCATTAGAAGAAAATAATGAAAGTCAGGAAAAGGTTATAAATACAGTTGGAGACACAGGGTAGAATAAACTTTGATCCATTAATGTTTATCTTTTAAAACTATTTGCATAGAATCATTGTGAAAATCTAGGATTAACTTTGGTGGAGCTTACATGCATGGTTCCAGTATTCATCTTCATTTATGTATTATTTATACACCACCTACTTCCAAAAAAGATTTGAAAGCAGCTCTTCCAATAAGGACTCTTGCGAAGCTATAAAAAATGCCATTAAAAATTAACAAAGAAAGTTCAGTGACTTGGATTCAGAACTTAGCATGATAAGGACTTTCTAAGATTTGGCAGTGGTTTGTCGGGTACGATGGTTTGTTTTTTCAGAAAACATACAAGCTTAAACACTTCTTAGCTCACTTAGTCTGTGCCCTCCCCTCGTGAGTGATTGTCTTCAGCAGCAGACTGTCCAGCACTGTTCTAGTATTAAGTGAGCCAAGTGCTTTCCTCATATTTTCAAAGGTCCACCTGACAAGATTCCTCCACCGACAAGACCTCTACCGACAGTGCCCCCACACCGCTCCGTTCCTCCAGCCGACCCACGCAAGAATGACAGGCCCAAACCTCCTCGGCCTCCCACTGGCAGACCTTCCTATCCTGGAGCCAAACCCAACATCTGCGATGGGAACTTTAACACTCTAGCTATTCTTCGCCGGGAAATGTTTGTTTTCAAGGTAGGAGGCTGTGATTTTTTTTTTTTTTTAACGGTAGATCAAGTGTCTACGGTGTCGCTTTAGAAAACAAGTTCTCATTCATTCTCACACCACCTTCCCAGACCTCTCACAGTTAGAAGTTTCAAAAAAGCATCTTAAAAAATAAACGCACAAATGGGCTTAAATGTCTAGCAGAAGATTGCTGTAACATTCTATTTGAGGAATGCATTTATGTCAGCAGAAGCTAAAATGCCTAGAAATGTGAGGGTAAGAAAATGCTGCATGTTACGAACAGATAAAAAAGCGTAATTGAAATCATGAATAGGAACTAATAGGGATGATTTACTTGGGAGCTTAGCCACTTCCAGGCGCGCTAGCACTATTCTATCTTTGATTTGCTCATCTTTATGAGATCCCTATGATTCCACTTGACAGTTAAAGCATTTTTTTTTAGAAGTAGTAGTGATCATTTTGTTTGGGGTCTACTGATAGAAATTTGAGTTAATATGAAACCATCATTTTGATTTTACAAGTATATGTCATTGTTTTCTTCAGTCAGGCATTTATATACCTGATTTATATTATTTTTTAAAAAGGTCACAAGTAAAACTAGTATTACATTTTGCTAAGTGTGCCTTTTAATGCCATTAGGTTCTCAGACAACACAAACAAGCAGGGTATTAAATAAGTTATATAATGAACTTACAAAGTAAGTTTAATGTAATGTTGAAAAGTGAATATGGTGTAATAGGGAAAGATATTTTCTTCCTCAATATTGTAAACTGATCTGAAAAACTGGTGAAAAAAATATAAGTTTTATGTTGGCATTAGCATATTAAAATAACCACATTTTACCAATACCATCCATTTAAAAAGAAAATAATGTACTCTCTTTTTGGGTAGATGTGAATCAATAAATAATGAAATATTGTCCTACTTATACAGAATTTCCTATCTACCAGAGGCTATACTTGAAAAATATAGATTTCATATAATTTTTAATAGACAAAGTACTCTGTTTCCTTTATTGGAAAACAAGATTGGGATTTGATATAATATGCACAAGAGCATCATACTTTCCAGGAAAAATCGATGCTTTTGTTCAAACACATGAATACATTTTTGAATTCTATAAATGCTCTGCAATGCTTAATTAGATATCTCCCATTCAATTTAAGTAGATAAATAAATTTAGATTCAAGCAGTAAAAATAAAATCTCTCTCTCTCTCTTTATATATAGCCACTCATTGTGGCTCAGCCCACAGCAAATAGTTGAAATGAAAACAAAATGCAGTCATTTGTTTATTCTATAAGACACCAAATGACATTTGAAGGATTTTGTTTTCTCCATTTTGGCCAAATTCCAACATCCCGGCTTTATACCCTGATATCATAGTCATATCAACAAAGTGATAAATTTATCTGAGAATGTGATGTGAAATGGACTCTGGGTATATCCTTTCCATCCTTCCTATCTGTCTAACTAGATGGCCAATCTCAGGAAAGACTGGTTTCTTTGAGTGTAATAATCATTTTCACCAGCTTTTCTGCTCTGCACACTGGGAGTGTTCTGGATTGACAAAATGACATCTTGTGATCACTGGTTCCTGGAATCAGGAATGAACATAGACCAGCTCTCAAGTAGAATATAGTAGCCACTATTATTAATATCAAAACAGGTATATGAAAAATATGAGTAAGGTCTGCTTCTCTAACCTCTGATGTTACCTTGGATTCCTTAATCAAAACTCTATAGGACAGAGTTCCTAAACTCTAACTGAATTTAGTTTTTTTCCACTGGTCCTTGCCATCTTTCTAATAATAATTACTGTTGAGAATATCTTCTGATAGGCATTGCATTCTTTTTAATCTCCACTTACTTGATGGATTTTGTATCACCTTACTTGATAATTTTCATACTCATCTCCTCTTTCGTATAATGCCAAGGGTAGTTTACTAGGCACTGGGGATGTATGAACAGAAGGTAGCACCCCTGTCTTTATGGAATTCATATTCCAGGAGTGAAGACACACATGAACTTAAGTACTTTCAAGATGTAGTAGTAAAAGGTACAACATGGACATGAAGAGAAAGTACTGAAGTCCAGTTGAATAGTTCAAGAAACCTTGACTGAGAAAAAGCTTATGCTGAATTTTTAGAGAAAAATTTCTTAGGCACATTAAAGAAATTAGTATTTGTTATACTAAAAAGTTGGTATATTGAGGGAGAGATGATAGACATATTAACTGTAGTGCAAAATGACAAATGATATAGATTGGAAATAAACAAGAAAGCATGATTGAATGATACCTGCTCTTAATTAATAGCTACTATGGATTAGGTAACTAATGTGTCCCTGAATGTACGTAGGGACTTTACATCCATAATCTCTAAACCTGATAATAACTCTGCAAGACGCACAGAATTCTCTATTTCACAAATGAAAAAACAGAATCAGAAAAGTTAAGTAGTTAGTCTGAGTTATAAGGTTTGTAAGTAGTAGTAGTCAGTAGGTGAACGCAGGTCTACTTGATTCTAAAATCTGTGTTTTTTCCCACTAAGCTTTGCTACCTAAAACAGTAGGGGAAAGTTCAAATGAAAGGTGGTAGGCTTTAAATTATATTTTAAAATAGTAAATATGCAAGAAATATTTATTGGGCTCCTACTGTGAGATGCTGTTTTAGGCACTGGCCATGTGGTAGTAAACAAAACAGCTAGTCCCTGGCTTCTTGGAACTTACATTCTAGCTTTCAAAGTGCCTCACACAGAGGTTCCCCATGGGTCACTGAACTATGTGGGAAAGCATCCACAAATTCTGTTTTCCTTTATTAATAACTGCTGGCCCCCTAAGTTATCCCTTTATACCTAAATAGACTAGACTAACTTTACCTCAGATTAATGCCATTTCCCTATACCTGTTCTACTTGCCTAAAATTGTTCTCTGCCGGTCTCTCTTGTGCATGCCTGCCTTTCAAATTTTCTTTTAATATACTCATCATTAGTTTCATAGTTTGCTCCTTATCAACTATTCCTTCAAGTATATTTTAAGATCACCCACTCTTTGATCTCACTTTTACTCATGTAACTTGATTCTCTACTTTTCTTCACTACAGATTCTCCTCACAAATTAAAAACCTCTTCCTCTTCTCAACCCTTACCCACCCAACACTCATTTCACTGTGGTTTTAATATTTGGGGCTTCATTGCAAGCCTCTGCTTATCTAAAGCTCCCTTCCTCAATGTCTTCCACATGTCCCAACCTCTCTAACTATTCTTCAACCCCAAATCTCTTTCTAGCGATTTTTTATATTTATTCTCTACATTCAATTAGCATGTTTTAAATTTCTATCTTCTCTATTTCTCATGGTAGTGCACTCCTTAACTAGATTATAAACTTGTTCAAAGCAGGGATTGGTTCACATGGGCTTCATAATGCTCAAGCTAATGAATAAGGATCTCAATATAAGAATTATCTAATGAAGACAGAGCTACTATTGTGTTTATACAACAGTAGTCAACCAATATGACATTACTGAAAATATTTTATTCTGGTAGTTTGTTATTCCTTTCCCCAAGATTTCCATGAGTATGATTTACTTAAAATCTGTATGTATGTTTTTACTTAAATTCTGAAAATCTAGATATAAGTAAAAGGTAACATCATCAGATAATTTTAGGAACCTTTCTTTAGAATGTTAGTCGTAGCATAATTCTTTTTGGGAACAAGTGTCCTCTTCAGAGATTCAATTTACACAATGAGCTTTGCAGACACTCATTTATTTGAAGTGAGTTCACCTGGATATGCTTCTAAATGGAAATATAATAAGCAGCACATATTGTAATATAACACATATTTAATTTTATATATATGTATATATATATATATTTCTCTCCTATCCTATAGATAAAATCCTGAGTATATTCACATGAGAAGGTTAAGCCTTCCATGCAGCTTCATAATCTTTGGGGAATGTAAACCATGTAAAGCGAGGAAATGAAAATTAAAACAAAATGCCAAGGAACAGAAGAATAAAGAAGTGATACAACAGAAGCTTTGTCCTTCCTCTACAGAGGTGATTTCTTAAGAGTGTTCCCTACAGAGCTTATACTGTGTGTATCACAGGAGCTGCTGTTGTGACTAAGCTGACAACAGGAAGAGCTGATTGTTCAAATGAAGACACAAAGTTCTCTTGGACTATAAGATAAAAGCATTGACTGTTTAGCTATTTTAAAATAGATAGGGTGTAAAATAGGTGTAAAAGAAAGCAGTATTAGTCAAACTTGTATAGGGTGTGTTTCAGCACACAATATTTTGTGATATGGGAAAGAATGCAGTAGTAACTATTCTTCCTGAAATTGAAGCTAGGAAGATAAACTGTGTGCACACCTGGAGTTCTTTTAGCATCTGCAGACACGTGCATGAGGACAGGTTTCACTTGGAACCTGACCAGTTCTTTCTATTAAGGGGAACACAGGCCAGTGCTTTACAGTAAAGCTAGAAATGACAGTGTTAAAAGGCAGAGCTTTCATGGAACAGCATTCACGGAAGTACAGTCAAGTGTCCTCCCAATTAGAGAAGAGCAAGGCTTAAGGCTCTTAACGAAAGCATTTCATTGTTTACCAAGAAACACACACACACACAACAAAAGAAAGCAAACCAACACAGAAAGCACTTGGTCCTTTTGTTTCTTAAGTTCTTGTCTCTTCATGTTTATTCATCACAAAACTATGTGTTCTTAAACATGACCATCTTCACTTATGACTACCTACTGAAAAATCATAGTTCCTTTTATTTCCGTAGAAACAGATCTGTCCAGATTCTGCTCTTATTAATACTAGCTTAACTTCCATTGAAAGTACAATGTCTCATTAACCAAGCCTAGTAAGTACAGGGTATGACCCAATTTCATCTGCAAGATGGTGGTTTTGTTTCATAAAAGAAGATATTTTATGAGAGACAGAGAGAGAGAATGAGATTCACGGGGTGGGGAAATGAGGAGACATTGCACAAAGATTAAAA